AGTTTGACATTATCTATGTCAACCAAAAAGCGATAAAAGGAAGTGTCATAGCTGATTTTCTGGCCAGTCGTGTATCAAATGATTATCACCCTTTGAACTTCAATTTTCCCGATGAAGATTTGTTGTGCATATCCATGAATGAAGAAGTCAGAACAAATGATGAATTTGCAACTTGGAAGCTTTATTTTGATGGAGCATCTAATGCTTTGGGACGAGGAATCGGGGCAGTGTTGATTTCTCCAGAAAATGTTTATTATCCCTTTACAAGTAGACTGGAGTTCTTTTGCACCAATAACATGGCGGAATATGAAGCTTGTGTCATGGGATTGAAAGCAGCTATAGAAAGAAAAATCAAATTTCTCAAGATATATGGAGATTCATCTTTAGTGGTGTATCAATTGCGAGGAGAATGGGAAACAAAAGATCCCAAATTGTTGGAATATCGAAATTTTACCCTCGAATTATTGAAAGAATTTGAGAGGGTTACCTTTGATTATCTCCCTCGAGAAGAAAATCAAATGGCAGATGCTTTGGCTACATTAGCTGCTATGTTTCAGGCAACTCAGAAGGTTGATATGATGCCAATCAAAATGCAAGTATATGAAATTCCTGCACATTGTTATAGTGTGGAAGAAGAGGTAGATGGTAAACCATGGTATCATGATATCCTGCAATATATCAAAAATCAAAGTTATCCACCAAATGCATCGGAAATTGATAAAAGAACCTTGAGAAGAATGGCTGCTGGATATTTTCTTGATGGAGAGATTATGTATAGAAGAAGCAATGATCAAATGCTATTGAGATGTTTAAATACCAGCGAAGCTCGAAACGTCATTGAAGAAGTACACAGTGGAATATGTGGAACACATGCAAATGGTCTTTCTATGGCCAGAAAAATAATGAGATATGGATACTATTGGGCTACCATGTACACAGATTGCATTGATTACGCAAGGAAATGTCATAAATGCCAGATATATGCAGACAAGATTCATGTACCCCCATCTCCTTTACATGTAATGACAGCACCCTGGCCATTTTCTATGTGGGGAATAGATGTCATTGGGGCAATCACACCAAAAGCATCGAATGGACATTGCTTCATCCTGGTGGCAATTGATTATTTTACCAAATGGGTTGAAGCTGCTTCATACACCAATATTAAGAGGTCCACAGTCTGCAAATTCATAAAGAAAGAGATAGTTTGCCGATATGGCATACCAGAAAGGATCATTACAGATAATGCTCTAAACCTGAACAACAAAATGATGACCGAACTTTGTGCACAGTTTAAGATCAAACATGCAAATTCAGTGGCATATCGTCCAAAGATGAATGGGGCAGTTGAAGCAACAAATAAGAACATCAAGAGAATCATTACAAAGACTACTGAAACTTACAAAGATTGGCACGAGAAGTTACCTTTTGCTCTATATGCATACCGAACTACTGTTCGAACATCTATTGGAGCAACACCGTTTTCTTTAGTCTACGGGATGGAAGCAGTCTTACCAATTGAAGTTGAGATTCCATCGCTCCGAATATTGAGAGAAACAAAATTGGATGAATCTGAATGGATCCAAGCTAGAGTTGATCAATTGAACCTTGTTGAGGAGAAAAGATTGAAAGCTATTTGCCATGGACAGATGTATCAAAAACGGATGATGAAGTCTCATGATAAAAAAGTACATCCAAGAGAATTCCAAGAGGGTGATCTAGTACTAAAAAAGATTTTGCCTATACATAAAGACTTCCGTGGGAAATGGATGCCTAATTGGGAAGGACCATACATTGTGAAAAAGGCTTTTTCTGGAGGAGCGTTGATCTTGGCAGAAATGGATGGAAAAATTCTGAAAAATCCAATAAACTCGGATTCTGTCAAGAAATATTATGCTTGAAGAGAAAAAAGAAGAAAAAAAAAAGAAAATGAAAAAGAAGAAAAAAAAAGAAAAAAAAAAGAAAAAGGGGATCAAGGTGAAAACCCGCAAAGGGCATCTTGTAATCAAAGGAAGGATTTGAGTTGAAAACCTGAAAAGGCGGCTCAAATGCAGGTTAATATTAGGCATCCGGCAATTGAATTCTCTTAAGATTTTGACAGTTTGGAAGAAACTTCACATCTACAAGCATTTCAACAACGTTTGAAATCTTCCAGACAAAAGCTTACATCATCTCTAAATTGTGTCAACTTGATTAATTTAGAAATACTTATGCTTATAATTTGTTGAGACATTTGAATTTTTATCATTCTTATGTTTGCCATAACTTTGAATACAATTCTATCTATTTCAAGTTCAATTTATTTAAGAGACAATTAATTTTTGGAAATTCAATTTATTCTTTTCTATTGAATTAACATAATTTTGAAATAATTTAAAGATTTCTGAATATCACTTTATGTTAATACTTTTAAGTACATGAAATACAAAGTAGGCAAATCATCACTAGCTTAAAGCCATGAACATCAAGATTGTTACAAGTGGTGCTACCGACAACAAGGTCGAATCCGCCAAATCTACTCATCAAGAGCTTATTCAACCTTTTGAATGACTCTATCACAAAAAGGAGGTCATCATCATCCCCAGTAGAAAGTTCATAATAAGAAGAACTTATTTGGAGAAAAAGAAGAATTTATTCAATATCTCCATAATGATCAAAGTAAAGTCAAATGGATAAAAAATTTTATTATCTTTTCATCTTTGCCCTATTCTTGTTAACATAAGAATGAGCAAAGAGGGGCAGCTGAAGATACTAAATTTTTTTTTATCCATATTATTATTATTAATATTATTATTATCCTTATTATTATTAATATTATTATTATTATCATTATTATTATTATTATTATTATTATTATCATTATTATTATTATTATTAAATATATTAAAAAATAATAATTACAGGCCCAATTACAATTGGACCGGCCCAGTTACAAACCAACCAGAACCGGTCTAAATCCAACCAGAAACCCTAAATATTTGGGTTTTCAGTTAGGGTTTCCTAACCCTAATTTGATCAGCCGCCTCAGCTCATGACCGTTGGATCTGATACGATCCAACGGTCCAGATGGTGCCAGAAGGAAACCCTAGGGTTTGATACCCTAGGGCCACGCGGCGCCGCTCCAGCTTCCACGCGGCTGCCGACAGCCCTCGCCGCCTCCGCCGCTGCCACGTCCCAACCGAAGACTCCAGAAGATCATATACCAGTCGTCCATGCAAGGCTACGGGGTGAGTCACCACTGGTAGTCCGGTGACTCACCGAGGCCCCCTCTTCGGACCGGTCTGAGACGAACACCGGTGGTGGCTATAAAAGCCACCACCCCATCTGCGAAGAAAAAAGAGGACAGAAACTAGAAACAGAGAACGGAGAAGAAAAAGACAGAGAAAGAAAAAAAAACAACTAATACCAACGATCTCAGCAGCAAAGAACCAGAAGAAAAAAAAGAGAGAAAAGGAAGAAGAGACTTACCGAGGAAGCGTCGACCACCGGATCTCGTCAGAACCTTCGAAACATCGAAGGTATTTTTGTAAGATTTGCTCCGATTAGGAGCCTTTTAAAGGAAGAAAACACCGGGACCGTCCTTAGGACGGTCCGATCTATCTATTCGTATAAAAATATTTTTTTCCGGCCACCGGATGCGGCGGCCGGCGGTGATATTCACGGCGGCTCACGGTGGCCGACTGGTAACCGGCTTCCCTCTGATGAGGGAAGCTAGAGAGAAGGCAGAGAGTTTAAAACTCTCTCAGTGAAGAGAGAGAGAAGAAAATGGAAAATGAAAGTTGGCCCTTCGGGCCAGCCGGTTTTGGACTCTTATAGTCCTTCCCGAACGACGTCGTTTCGGGAAGGACTATGCGCGTAATTATGAAATAGTTAAACCCCGTCCGCAGTCCCTCGTATTTGTAAATTTTACATTTTGGTCACTAAACTGAATTTATAATAATTTTAATTCAGTCTTTGAATTTTAATTTTATTCATTTTAGTCCTTTTTATTAAAATAATATATTTAGGATAAATAACAGATTTAATCCCTCAATTTTAATAAATAATATTTTAATCCTTAGTTTATATTTTTATTTTATTTTATTATAATATCCGAATTTTAGATAATTTTATTTTAGTCACTAAATTATTAAATAAAAAAAAATAGCATGTTTAATCCTTATAATTTTGGTTAATTATAAATTAGATTTTTAATTTTATTTTTACTGTAATTTAGTCAGTTATTTTATATGTTTTCATTTATTTTATTGTTTTTTAAATATATTGTTTTAGTAGTATGTTTATTATATAAATAAATATTTTTTTCATATATATATAATAAATAGTAATTTTTAAATATTTATTTTAATATCGAAGAAAAGGACAGTCTTAAAACAACTGGATGTTCTATTCTGATGTTTTAAAATTAAAAATTAAACAATATTATTTAAAATTTATCAATATCAAAGAAAAGAGCTGTCTTAAGGCACCTAGAAGTTCTTTTCTGATATTTATAAATAAATAAATATTTTTTTATATAATTTTGAAATAATAAGATTATAAATTAAATATATTTTTGAATTTTTAAATTTTAATAATAAGAGAATTTATAATTAAAAAGTACCAATTTTGGGCGTTGTAGGGGGTGCTAATCCTTCCCTAAACGTAACCGACCACGAATCCCTTTTTATTATTAAGAACGAGTTTTTGGTTATAAAACGCAGATCAGTTCATTTTTTAATTGATGTTTTTTTTTTATAAAAACTCTTTTAAAAGAAAAATTTTTAGGTATTCGACCTACCTGATTCAAAAGGTCGATGGCGACTCACAAATTATTTTCAAAATTATTTATTCACATCAATTTCCCCGCCAAATTTAATATTTCGTGCCCGGACGAAAACCGGTTACGACAATATGCAAAGCAGGAATATGGATCCGAAGTTTATTGTAGCAAGCTTTACTTGATGGCATTAGGGGGGAGGGGGGATCTGTAGCAAATACACAAGATTAAATGTGCTCACCCAGCGTGCTGTGTCGAAAAGAGGGCAAGTCATTCTGGCTGCTTTGAGCTTATTCGAAAGATCTTGGAGCTTTGGCCGATTGAGAGCAAGTGAGACAGCTTTCTCTTCATAGTCTTTCAAACTTTGAATATTTTTGGCAAAAATGTGAATTATAAAAGGCACCATCATCAGCAAGAATAGAAGGAAAAAGAAGCAATAGCCTGAAATGCTTCTTAACGCAAACGAGTAAGCATATGGATTAGAGAATTCTCTTTGGTCCATTGCAAACACCAAAAAAAGGCTTCATTGTTAACCCCCCTTCATTTTTTTTATCGACAATCCCTTTCATTCAATGAACCTAGAATGGTACAGTGCTAAGGTCCATGGTTATGGTTTATCCTGACGAGAAGTTAAGGGCAAGAAGGTAAACTGGTACTCCTGTCAGCTTTTATCAATGGCTTATATTATAAATAAGTACCTAAAGTACTTTTTGGTCAAAGTATCTAAAATTATCTTTTTAGTCAAAATAAGTACCTAAAGTATTAAATTGTTTCCATCTAAGTTCTAAAAAAGTTGACACATGGCATTGTTTAAAGAATGCTTTGGCATTTAGATGAAAAAATTGAATAATTTAGGTACCTGTTTCAACCACAAAATACTTTAGGTACCTATTTTGACCAAAAAGATTAGGTACTTACTTTGACAAAAAAAAATACTTTAGGCACTTAGAAAAAAGGATGGTATACTTTAGGTAATTATTTATGATATAAGCCTTTATCAACATTAAAACCTAAATTCCTTTTAAAAATAGCTGCAACTTGTTATTACTTCTATTATATTCTGAGGGTGTTAATGGCAATGAAGAGAGGCTAAGAAACCTTTCACTATTTTCCTCAAAGAAGGCCAGGGAGCTAAATCCATAACTGAAGAAAAACATTTTCTATCCATGATTTATTTTTGTAGACCAAAATGCTCTTTGCTCCTTGATTAGATCATCAATCACATACCTGCTGACAATCATCTCCTCACCAACGCCAGTAGCCAAACACAGTGAACCAGCAACTCTAGTTGCCATCTTTTCAAGCGGAAGGGTCACCATTGGAAGTCCAGCCCATAGAACATCTGTGCCTGTTGTGTGTGCATTGCATAACGGTCTTCTCAAAAACAAAGAAAAAAAGCGAAGTCAAAAAATGTAGGCCACAACTTTTACTGTGCCTAACCAAATCAAAACTTAAGAGGTGAATCTGCTTATCGCATCTCAGGTTTGTAGGAAAAAGAAAGAGGTTCTAGGATTAATTTAATATTTACGTATCAAGGAAGAGATCTGCCAAGGCACTGCGTCTTATATTTTCACTTTTCATAGCAACATCAGTGAAAATAATCTGATCAGGCTGCACACCCTGTTGAGTTGCATCTGAATCACACCACAATCAATTATTTAATACTAACTTCTAATAATAATTCAAGGCATAGTTGGCAGGTGCAGAAGAGATTAGTAGACAATCTAAGAATTCAGATGCTGAGACACTAGAACACCTACATGCACGAAGTCTCATTTCCCCAGCAGCAGGGAATCGAAGCAGCCAAAGAGCACTATTTGAAACCCGCTTAAGAATATTGTACCTGAGATTGATTGTAACAAGACTTAAGTATGAAGATAAACAAGCAAATAAAACAGGATAAAAGACTGGTGAATATTTACCATGTGCTGAAAATGTCAGGATCCATCTTGTACAGCTGATTGAAACATGCAAAGATAAATTTGTCTTCTGGTAGCCCATAATCAGATCTCTTGGGCAGGCAGTTTGGATGCAAGACATCAAGATTTTTCTAGTGATGATTGCAATGCAAAGAAGGGAATAAGGAACCCAGAAAAAACATGATACTAATAACATACAGAGAAAAGGAAGCAATTCTAACCTGTTTATAGTCATTTACAAAGTAACAATGAGGAAGGTGTACAAGCTTCTCAGAGTAGATATGAGAAAAGCAAAGAGGTGAAACAAACTGCAATACAGAGAGTAAATGATGTAAAAAAGCAAAAACAGAAACAAAAACAAAATAGGATGAACTTAGAACCATAACTAAACAGTGATCTATTGTTCACCAACCTCATCAGTGACCAAATAGTGTATATATGATGCACCAGTAGTCCCAGGAAATCCCATGTAAGAAATCTGAATAGGAGCAGGTTGCATTGCAAATATTTCATTTCTTGCTCCCTGAAATATCAGATTCAAAAGCAATTAAACAAATAAATAAAATCAGAACAGAAACAACAAGCGTTTACAAGAGGTAGACCAAGTATTGTCATATAAATTTGGTTCAGAGGAAATTAATCCTTCGAATCAAGCGGAACCAAATGTAAGCAAACATATTTCCTTTCCCCATATGAGTTTCAACTGAATTACCAAATAGAAGAAGTTTACCTTAGTATAACCATTAAGATTGACAAGAATTTGTATTTTGTCCTCATTTATCATCTTTGCAATCATATCAGAGGACATAGATGATACATCTATGAAGTGTTCTGCTTCTGACTGTATACGCAACCTCCACTCTGTTCTGTCATTTGGACTCAATGCATAGCAAAACACCTGCAAACAAGCAGTTCTAGAATGTACAGACCAAAACATAGAAAATGTTTGAAAAGACAGATGGTCTAATTAGGGTCCTATGTGAGGAGAAAATTTTACAAACCTCGACATTTTCTCTGTTGTGCATTCCAAACACTGAGCCCATAAGATGAGATAGGGGATGGTTACCAAAATCACTACTCACATATCTGAAAAGCCATAATACCTATTAAAGGACCAGGGAGAGGGAGAAAAGAGAGACAGAGGAAGAGAGATCTCAAAACATACCCCACCCTAAGGCGTCCATTGCCACTCTCACCAGGAAAGGGTGCAGGATAGTTGAAAGGAGATAGGGAATAACGGGAAGCAATAACAGAGCAGTGTGCTGCATATTTACGACTACAACAAACAGAAATCGATCAGATAACAAACTGTAAAGTTCATATTTTAATCGCATCCAAAACAATCACCCAACTTGCCTGATATCTAGTGCAAGCATTGGATCAATAGGATAGGCTATTGCATGGAAAGGCTGCACACTAGGAATAGCTGACGTCTGAAGGGTAAAACAAACTGTCAATGCTTCTAGGCAAGGAATCAACCGGGAAGGGAATTCAAAGCAAAACAACAATGCCAAGGGAAAAGGAGTAATAGAGATCAAAGCAGATCGAGCATGAACCTTAATTTGTCTCCTGAGTATGCCTTCTACTTCAATAAACTTATTCTCCCGATCCTCCCATTCGCAAACACACTAACCAAGGATGTATCAAATTTATAAATTGCAAACAGAAAAACAAATAAACTGAGTTATAAAAGGCAGCTAATATGATATAATCTCTGGTAAAAAACACATGAACTGTCAAACCACAAAGCTATTTTACATATAACGTGACAGATAAAAGTGCACACCTCTGTTCTCCCTTTGTCATTTCACATTATCCAGGGACCATTTGATCAAATACCAACAGACAAAACTTAGCAAGGAAAGAAAAAACAAAATATACGTGTTCATGAAACAGGCTTTATTTTAAACCCATCTTCCCATGAATTTTAAAATAACATTACAGCTTATCTGAAGATTTAGGAGAGAAAAACTCGGGGGCAGAAGCAAATAGTCATTAATCAACAAAACTTGACGGTAAACGTGCTCAAGTAGACTATCTGCTGACTCACAAACAAGGATAAATGAAATATTCCCAGTTTGTTAAAATATGCACTTCAGTAATTAGATTTAGGAGAGAAAAACTCGGGGGCAGAAGCAAATATGCACTTCAGGCAATAAAATGTATTCTCTGTAATTTTTCTCATTGAAAATGACTACATAAGTTAGGCCTTATACAGGCAGATTTACAACTCTAACTTAGAGTCCAATTAGAAGTTAACTTAACCTAACTAATATTCTATCTAATCCTATCTAATCTCTTAATTTATAAGATGCAGAGTACAAAGAAAAAATAAAATAAAACTATAGTAATTAAATTACAATCAAACTCTAATTTATTCTGTTACAATCTACAGTTCTATACCTGTAATGTATGCAGAAGGTTACAGGTTGCTTCGGGAAAATCAGGACGAAGAACCAGTGCCTGCTTGTAGCTTTTTATCGCAGCCTCAACATGCCCACTGCAAGATGTTAAAAGCAGAAGACATTGAAACAAGCATGATTCCATACAGAAGAAAAAGGCTCCATTTAAGTGTATCACCTACCTGTCCTTGTAAGCTGAAGCCAAATTGGCATGTGCTTCAGCCATTGCAGGCCTAATGTTAATTGCCCGTATGTAGTCTTGAATGGCTTCATTTACTCTTCCACTCTCCTTATATGTATTCCCTCGGTTGACAATTGCATCAGCAGCCGTAGGATCAATACGAAGAACTTCGGTGTAACAAGATATAGCATCTGCTAGATTACCCTGTAAAAGAAAAGAAAAGGGAAAGGAAACAGTACATCAGCAGTGTATATAAACAATGAGTATTCGTAAGAGAAGATACACCTACCTGCTGTTTGTAAATGATTGCTAAATTGTTGAAAGGAGCAGAAAGTCCTGCAGTTACAGATAAAGTTGCCTTGTAGCATGAAGCAGCAGCACTCAACATATTCCTACAAATAAGAATTAATATCTCATGATGAAATCCTACCAACATAACCAGAATGATTCAACAAAAGCATAGTCAGTGCAGTACAAACCATTCCATATATATATTTCCTAGGTTTGTAAGTGCCTGAGGATGGTTAGGTTGCAGGGCAAGACATTGCTTCATAACACAACAGATGCACAATCATAATAAAATCTGGAAAGGCATGTTAAAGAAAGAAATCAGAAGGATAGCAGAGCCTCATAGCTAAAACAACCCTACCCTATAGCATTGCATTGCTTCATCAACTCTTCCGGCTTCTTTCAAAGCATTACCCTGATTTTAACATGTCAAGAAAGAGTGGCCACTCTACTCTGGCAGCAGCTACTAATCAGGAGTTATCAGAGGAAGCCAGGCATAAAGTCTTATCTTGGCTGAATAATAAACAGAATAGTGGAGTGAATGGAGTCAGTAGGGGACAAGTCCCATCGAGTAAGTCAACTGAAGAAATTGCTAATTGTGGGCTGTCAGTTTTTATGGAAAATATGAGTAACCAGAACAGGAATCACGTGGGGCTGGGATTAAGGGAAACTTTTGAATCAGAGGATAAAGCCCAATCAGATGAAATTGGGGTTGATTTTTCACCAATAAGGAAAATTATCCCTACTGAGCCTGCATTTATTCTTAAGTGGGTTGGGGAGAAGAATGGTACTGGTAGATTTATGTGCCAGCTCAATACCATTTCAGTTAATCATAGAGAAGTTGTAGAGGAGGGTGCAGTTACGTTGGAGAAAGAAAAGACAGGGGGAGAGAAAGAAATGTCAAACACTGAACAGGATGTTGATATGGTTAAAGAGCAGCATGTTGGCTTGAGAAGTCGATAGGAGAATGAAGCAACTAATACACTGAATTTTAATGATTTTGAGAGAGACGAACTCTCTGTCCAACAGAGGGCTGGTTCAAAGAAGAATAAAAGGATAAAGGATGATAAACAGATTGGCCTGACTGAGGATAGCTCTTCCAGATCGTGTGTAAGGCAGAGAAATGTAGTAAATCAAGATGGAATCAGTTCAGAGTTAATTATGGAAGGTTAGTTCAAAAGAAGAATAAAAGGATAAAGGATGATAAACAGATTGGCCTGACTGAGGATAGCTCTTCCAGATCGTGTGTAAGGCAGAGAAATGTAGTGAATCAAGATGGAATCAGTTCAGAGTTAATTATGGAAGGTCAGTTCAAAAGAAAGGAGATTTTGTCCTCTTCCAAAATTCCTGTTCAATGTCTGGATAGGGAATATATGGATCAAATCAGTGTTAATTTTGTGTCCCCTAACAAATCTATCGAAGCTAGATTGGAGGCTGCTGCTACTTGGGATGTTTGTGATATGTTGGGGATCTCTTTCAAAGGGGGTAATCATGTTCTGGAAAAGGAGATCTTGAAGATGGAGCTAAAAGGGCCTCTTAGAAGCTCTTGACTGATTTTTTCAGGATACTAAAGGTTTGTTGCTTGTAGTAATTATGTCACAAATCAAATTGATGTCATGGAATGTGAGGGGGCTGGGAAAAAGGGAAAAATCAAGAGCAGTTGCTAGATTAGTTTCGAATATCAAACCGATGATTCTGTTTCTTCAGGAAACTAAGTTGAATAAATGCCAAAAGGGATTGTTTAGGAAGTTAGGGGGTAACTTCCTGAAAGGCTCTAGCTTTCAGCCAGCTACTGGTTCTGCAAGGGGTTTAATATGTATGTGGAATGAAAATCTGTTTGAAGTTAGCAGGGAGTTTAAACACAATAGATTCATTGCTTTATCTGGAAAGTTTAGGAGTGTTAACTTCGACTGTGTGGTTATTAATGTGTATGGGTCGTCGGTTGAGGCTGATAAAGAGGAGTTTTTAAGGGAGCTTATGTGTTTTACACAACAGCTTGATTTGCCTGTATGCTTAGGGGGGATTTCAACGCTTATTTAGATCCCGAGGAGAAGATTGGAGTTGCTCAGAATTGGCATTCATTGGAGTTATTTTCCAACTTTGTCCTACATCTAAACCTGATGGATCTACCTTTAGTTGGAGGCAGATTTACTTGGTGCAATAATAGAGAAGCTTCCACGTGGATTAGATTAGATCGTTTTCTAATAAGTGGTGCATTTTTTCAGGTATTTCCAAAAGTTATCCAGAAATTGTTGCCGAAATCATTATCTGATCATAATCCTATAGTACTTGAAGAAGATCTCAACAATTGGGGACCTAAACCTTTCTGGTTTTTTAAATATTTACTAGAGGATGATGGGTTTGAGGGGCTGGTTCAAAATGTTGTGTATGATTTAAAGAGGGAGAATGCACGAAGGGGTATGTTGAGTATTCTTCAAGGAACAAAGAAAGCAATTAAAAAGTGGCCAAACAGTAACAATATGGGGATTTCAGAACAGATATCAGAGATGGAAAACAGGATAAATGACTTGGAATTAAAGTCTCAGGATAGGGGAATTTCTGCACAAGAATGGGGCCAACTAGTAGCTTGGAGGAATGAATTGTGGGGTCTGCATAGGAAGGAGGAGAGTATTTGGTTTCAAAAATCAAGAATTAAATGGATTAAGGATGGGGATAGAAATACCAGATTTTACCACATTTGTGCACTTAATAGGAGCAGAATGAATGCTATTTCGTCTTTGAAAGTGACTGGGATAGATATCTCTGATCCCAGGTTGATTAGAGCAGCTATCTTTGATTATTTTAAAGTCAATTATAATGAGATAACATCTCTGGAGGTGGAGGAATGTAACCTGAATTTTGCAAAACTGACAGAGGAACAAAAGGCTGGGTTAGAGGCTGATTTTTCTGAACAGGAAGTGTGGGATGTTGTATTTAAGTCGGACAGTGCTAAGGCACCTGGTCCAGATGGCTTTACTATGGGTTTCTTTAAAAAAATTCTGGACTATACTGAAGGACCTTATCATGCAGTTTGTTCAAGATTTTCAGAGAGGGAAAATATGGGAAAATGGAGTTAATCATTCCTTTATTACGTTAATTCCTAAGAAGGTGAATCCACAGGGAATTGAGGATTTCAGACCTATTAGTCTTGTTGGCAGTCTTTATAAGATTATTTCTAAAGTACTCTCGAAAAGGTTAGTCTCTGTCATTTATGGTTTGGTAAGCCCTTCACAGTTCGCATTTATTCCGGGCAGGCAATTGTTAGATTGTGCTCTGTTGGCAAATGAAGGAATCGAATATTGGAGAAAACTAGGGAGAAAAGGAGTTGTCTTTAAAGCTGATTTCCGTAAGGCCTACGATTCGGTTTAGTGGCCTATATTATTCAGAATTTTGAAGGTAATGGGTTTTGGGGATAAATGGATTTCATGGATTAAATGTTGTGTTTCCTCTGCCTCTATTTCGGTGTTAGTTAATGGTTCCCCTACTGAGGAATTCAATATTAGCAAAGGGTTGAGACAAGGGTGTAGCCTATCCCCTCTTCTATTCAATTTAGTGGGGGAATTATTAAACCTTATGTTGATTAAGACTGCTGATATAGGTCTGTTCCAAGGGTTCAGCATTGGGAGGGTTGGTAATTCCTTCCAGTTGACACACCTGCAGTTTGCAAATGATTTAATCCTCTTCTGCAGATATTCTCCAATGCAAATTCTAAATATTAGGAGAGTATTGAGGGTCTTCGGTGTTATGTCTGGGTTACACTTAAACTTGTCTAAGTGTTCTGTTTTTGGGGTTAATATGGAAGCTGACAGGGTTTAAGATTGTGCTAGGAAAGCAAGCTGTGGAGTGGGGTCTTTTCCAATGTCTTATCTCGGTTTACCGATTGGAACTAGGAAAAATTCAGTAGGTATGTGGGAATCGGTTGTCCAGAATTTTAATAAGAAATTATCTGGGTGGAAAGCCAAATCGCTGTCGTTGGCGGGCATACTTGTTTTGGTTAAATCAGTACTTTCATCCTTGCCCATTTTTTTTCTATCTATTTTCAAGATTCCTCACAAAGTGTCTCAGAACTTGAACTCGTTGATGGCCAACTTCCTTTGGGGTGAAGATCTTGATAAAAAACGCATCCACTGGGTGAATTGGAATTCGGTTTGTCAACCAATTGAAGAGGGTGGTCTGGGAATACTCGACTTAAGGCTGATTAATAGGTCCTACTTGGGAAATGGGTTTGGAAATTTGCTAATTAAAAATATAGTCTGTGGAAGAATCTGATTTGCAGCAAAAACAATGTTAGCTCTATGTCTCTTTCAATTTCAGAAGCGAATTCACCTTCTGATTCCTGGATATGGAGAGGTATCCTTGGTAACTATGCTAAGAATGATCAGATTGGTGGTTGTTTAAGACAAAATTCTAAGTTCAATGTTGGAAATGGGCGGTCGATTGCTTTCTGGAATGATGTTTGGATTTCTAATTTGCCTTTAAAAAGCCTTTTCCCGAGAATTTTTGCTTTGTCGACGAACAAAGGGGGGATGGTTTCTGATTTTGTGAGTATGAAGATGATGTGTGGGTTTGGAATATTCAACTTAGAAGAAATTTGTGTGATTGGGAATTGGACCAGTGGATTGCTTTTGTCATTTTTTTTTTTTTGATAGAAATTGGATAGGCCTCGTTAAAAACCCCCTTCTTGACCTCCATGTTACAACAATAACATGAAGGGCATGGGAAGGAGGAAAAGAGTGCCTAAAAATTCATTAATACCAGAATAATACATATCCATCCTAAGAAGTTCTGTTACAACATAAAACTTAAAAAACCAAACACAGAACATAAAAACCAGCTCAATAATTGTGCAACCTAGCCAATAATCTAATATTCATCCTATTCCTTCTTTAGCTAGTTTATCCGCTTCACAATTAGCAGCTCTCAAAATATGCCTAACAATTACCCCTCTACTCTCCACTAATGCAGCAATGTCTTTCACCAACGGCTGGAACATAGGAGTACATACACCCGGATTTTTTAATCCATTTCAGTGCATTAAGGGAATCTGATTCCAATATGACCCTTGGAAATGAAACCAAAGATTTCTCCTCAATATACATCAGCCCTCTTTTTATAGCTAATAGCTCTGAAAGAATAGGACCCCCCCCCAATCCTTTCGGAAAACGAACCCTGCTGCAACCCTTGAGCATCCCTTAATAATCCACCAATGCCTCCTTTATCCCACTCCTTAGACATCGCACCATCAACATTTAATTTAACGTAACCCAAGGGAGGAGCAGTCCAACACGAGGAAGAAATAGAATCCTTCTTCATTCTTACCCCCAAATCAGCTATTTTAATATAACCCACTAGAGAATCAAAATTTATCTGCACATCATTGAATCTCGCGACAAACCATGATGCAATTCTAAAACGAACAAGGAAGAACAATAACGGGCCATCCACCTTTCCTTTCCCAAAAATAATATCATTTCTACACTTCCAAACCGTCCAAAGCACCGCCCTAGGGATGAACTTCCAAATGGTGGATTTCGGGATTAAATCATTCCAAACGATTATGAAATCCAACAAAGTCTGAGGTGGCACAAAAGATACATTCCAAGATGACAAGAATCTATACCACAGGCCGCTGACAACCTCACAATGAACAAATAGGTTAGAAACCGACTCCACACACTTACCACACAAAGGACATAACGAGTCTTCAATCCCTGAAACTCCTCGCTTTATCAATTCCTCTCTAACTGCCACTCTCTGATGAGCAGCCTGCCAAACAAAAGTTTCGACTCGAGGAGGAGCAACCCATGTCCATACAATATTGTCCCAAGTACCATCATCTTCCTCATTACCAGCCCAATCAAAATAGCACTTCGCACAAGATTTAGCTGAAAAACAACCCTCCCCATTCCCTGTCACAATATGTGGAAGACTTCTTGGGATGGTCTGGAAAGGGGGATGGCATTTTCTCGGTCAAATCATGTAGATTGTCGTTACAAGGTAGGACTGAAGGGAGTTTTGAATGGAAGAAGTGGGTTTGGGATGGTTTGGCACCTCCTAGAGTACAAACGTTTTTATGGCAGATCTGTCATCAGAAAGTGGCAGTGAGAGTGGAATTGAAGAGAAGAGGAATTCAGATTTCGGATGTTCTTTGTCCATTTTGTCATTCTCAGAATGAATCTATTGCACACCTGTTCCTATCGTGCACTGTTGCCTCGGATTTGTGGAGCAAATTTCTACGGTTATGGAATATCTCTACGGTGTTGCCTCAAGACCCTTCTTCTATTTTGTGCTCGTGGTCGAACCTAAGGAATAATTCCATTATTTGGAGGTTTATTCCGGCTGTCATCTTTTGGTCTATTTGGAAGGCTAGAAATCAGGTTGTTTTTGAAAACGGCAAATGTGACTCTACTGTCCTGTTCTTTATCACTAGATTTAGATTGGCTAAATGGTTCTTGGCTAAATACCCTGGGGTTCGGATTCAGACTGACCTTCTAGTAGGAGATCCCACGCGGGCGGATAAACTTCTCTCTAGTATGAGTACTAAGAAGGTTATTTGCTGGACTCCACCGCCATTGGATATGTTCAAACTCAATGTTGACGGGGCAGTAATGGGAGATGGGATGCAGGGTGGTATTGGTGGGGTTTTGAGAGACTCCTTAAATTGCACTTTAGCTAATTTTTCCTCTGCAGTAGGGCCTGGTCCCCCTATACTGACTGAACTGAAAGCTATTATTAAAGGATTGGTCTTCTTCTTTTCTTCCGATTGGGCCAACAAGGGGAGACTTATTTTGGAAAGTGATAGCAAATGTGCAATGGATTGGATTTTAAAACTGCAAACTGCCCCTACTCTTTTCAGTCAATTGGTGGAGGAAATTAGAGTTCTTGCTACTGCCAAGGGCGTCGTTCTTAGATGGGTTTCTAGGAGTTGCAATATGGAGGCCGATAGGTAAGCTAACAGGGGATCGGTTGAGTGTTGAAGGCTTAATGTTGAACTTCAGGAACTAGCTGAGGTTGGGTTAGGCGGATGGGTTTTTGTTTCCCATCGCTATTTGTATTAATGTCATGTTTTATTTTCGAGGGTTAGAGTGTTATGTCTATCCTGTGTTATTCAGGGTCAGAATGTTAGGTGTATCTTATGTAATCCTGGTTTATTAATATACTGAGGTGCTCTTTTCCTCCCTCAATTAGTTTCCATCCTGAGTCAACTATGAGGGAGGTTCCTAACGAGACCTCCTATTCCTATCAAAAAAAATAGTGAAAATTCTAGCCTTGATATAACCTCTCTTTTTCCGAATAAGATTTAGGTTGGCTAGATGGTTTCTAGCAAAGTTTCCTAATATCCAAATTCAAGTTGATTTGTTGGTAGGGGACCCCTCTCTAGCAGACAGGTTTGGTTACCAGAATACTCATAGGAGTTCGAAACAAAGTTGGCAGCCTCCCCCTACAGATTTTTACAAATTTAATGTTGATGGGGCTGTCAAGTCTGATGGGATGAAGGGAGGAATTGGAGGTATTTTGAGAGATTGTAATAGCATTATCCTATCGACCTTCTCTGTTAGTATTGGTCCAGGCCCTCCTCCGTTGGCTGAACTAAAAGCTATTAAAAAAGGCCTAGACATTTTCCTATCATCAGATTGGGCGGCAAAGGGAAGATTGATCCTAGAAAGTGACTGTAAATCTGCTGTAGACTGGATTCTGCTGCCTAATTCTGTTCCTAGTTTCTTAGTTCACTTGTTGAGGATATTGTGTCCTTAGTTCATGAGAGGGCGATTATTATTCGATGGATTCCTAGGGGATGTAATTGGGAAGCAGATAAATTAGCTAAGGATGGGATTGGTTGATTGTAAGGGTATTTTTATAGGGTGTTTTAAGATTATAGTTTTATTCTGATGCCCTAATTGTATTGGTATAATTTATTGTAATAGTTTCTCTATTCAATAAACTAAGGCACTCTTTTCCTCCTTCCGATAGTTACTCTTTCCAAGAGCTAACTAAGAGGGAGGTTTTTAATGAGGCCTATTATTCCTATCAAAAAAAAGAAAGAGTGGCCACAGAAATCAGAAAGACTTAGTACGTACTAAATTAGCAACCAATCCAAAGTAATAATAGGACTAACCAAGTTGTTATATGCCTCCAAGAATCCTGAGTCAAAAGCAATGGCTCTCTTGTAGTTGAGAATAACCATATCCAGGTTACGTTGTTCAAAATAAATACTAGCCAAATTGCCTGCAGAAAGAATGATTGCTTAACACCATTCGTTATAATTTGGAAATTATTGTGTAATGACACAAACTGCAGCAACTTCGCATAATTTTTGTTTAAAAGACATTTTAGATTGCTCGTTTATAGCAAATGAAGGCATTGATTGTTGGAGGAAAAAGGATTGAAGGGAGTTGTTTTTAAGGTGGATTTCAAAAGAGCTTTTGATACGGTTGATTGGAGGATCTTGCTGAAAATAATGAGTAAAATGGGGTTTGGAGCTAGATGTAGTTCTTGGATGTACAAGTGTGTTTCAACAACTTCCATTTCAGTTTTGGTAAATGGCACACCTACGGAGAAAATTCACATTACTAGAGGGCTAAGGCAGGGCTGCTCGTTATCCCCTTTGTTGTTCAATTTGGGAGGGGAATTGCTACATTTAATGTTGGTAAAAGCAGTGAACAAGGGGCTGTTTTCGGGTTTTGAATTAGGCTCTAATGATCGTTCTTTCATGTTATCTCATTTGCAATTTGCGGATGATTTAATAATTTTTAGTAAGGCTTCTATTCATGATTTGGTGAATATTAGAAGGGTGCTTTTAATTTATGAACTGATGGTGGGTTTGAAGTTGAATCTGTCTAAGAGCAGAATTTTTGGAATTAATGTGGGGGAGGAGGAACTAGTTTCATGGGCAAAGGAAATAGGGTGCATAAGGGGAGTTTTTCCTTCGGAGTACTTAGGTCTTCCATTGGGGGCCAAGAGGAATTCTTTTTCCCTGTGGGAACCGATTGTACAAAAATTTTATAATAATTTGGCTGGTTGGAAGGCCAAGTCTTTATCTCTGGCTGGAAGGGTTGTCTTGGTCAAATCGGTGTTGTGCTCTATTCCAATTCACTATCTTTCTATTTTTCGGATCCCTATTAGTGTTCTCAACAAACTAAACTCTATCATGGCATCGTTTCTATGGGGGGGATCATCAGATAAAAAGAACATTCATTGGATCAAGTGGGATTTGGTGTGTAAACCAAAGAAGTTGGGGGGTTTAGGGATTCCGAATCTGCTGTTATTAAACAGGGCTCTTATGGGGAAATGGGTGTGAAAATTTGCTGCAGAGAAAAATTCTTGGTGGAAATCAGTTGTGTGTTGTGTTTACAATATGGATCCTAATTCATTGATGATCCGGAATACTTGGACAGCTCGTAGTTCGTGGATTTGGAGAGGAGTTGTTAAGAACTTTTCAAGTGATGCATTTGGGTACTGTTTTAGGAGAAATTTGTGTTAGGGCTGGAAATAGAGAAACTGTTCAGTTTTGGCATGATGTTTGGTTGGGTTCGGCTCCTCTAAAAGATAGGTTTCCAAGGTTATTTGCTCTTTCGAATGACAAAGAGGGTAAGGTTGCAGAATTCAGATTGCACAATGATTCGGGTTGGGTTTGGGATATTCAAATGAGAAGGAATTTGGTGGATTGGGAGGTTGAGCAGTGGCTGTAAATTATCTCTCTGTTGAATAGCTCTTCTTTGTCTCTAGTAGAGGAAGATTGTTGGATTTGGTTGGGAAATGAAGAGGGTTGTTTTACAGCAAAATCATGCATGAAGACCTATTTTGATAAAGAGGGTATTGATCAATTAGAAAGTAATTGGGAACGGTATGTTTGGAAAGGAATAGCTCCACCACGTGTGGAATCTTTTGTTTGGCAACTTGCTCATCATAGAGTTGCGGTGAAAGAGGAATTGCTGAAGAGAGGAGTTTCTGGGGTTGAAGACTCTGTCTGCCCTTTGTGCAGGAAGTACAATGAGTCGGTCTCTCATTTGTTTCTTCACTGTGAAGTGGTATGGGTTTTGTGGGCTAAGTTTTTAAAGTTATGGAATGTTTTCTTTGTGGTTCCTGGTTCGTTGATGGACTTCTTAATTGCTTGAGATGACCTAGTGCCGCGATCTCATATATGGAAGTTTATTTCAAGAGCAGTGTTGTGATCTGTTTGGAAATGTAGGAATGAGGTGATTTTCCAGAATGGGAAGGTAGATTCAACGCTGTTGTTCTTCATTTCACGTTTCAGAACTGTTTCTTGGTTTGAAACATCAGATAAGGATGTTCATTTTCATTTTGATTCCTTGATGGGGGATTTAAAACTAGCAGATCAACATGTCAATCTGAATAAGAGGTATCTTCCTTCTTCTAGGTGGAGTCCTCCGATAGGGTTCTTAAAAGTTAATGTTGATGGTGCAATGGTCAAAGGTTGGGATAAGGGTGGAATAGGTGGCTTGACTAGAGATGGCAGTGGGATGGTGCTTGGGTCATTTTTAGAGAAGGTAGGGGGAGGTCCTCCCTTACTCGAAGAGCTTTTGGCGATCAAGAGAGGGTTGATTCTTATTGAGGAAGTTGAAGCTGATTTCTTTTCAAATCAGAGGATCATTTTGGAATCGGATTCTTCTACTGCTCTGAAGTGGATTAATAATCTGAACCTTAGTACTATTTTGTTTCATTCCTTGGTAAGGGATATAGCTTCTACTGTGGAGAGGAAGGGTATTATCACAAGGCTCATCTCGAGAGCAGCAAATTGGGAAGCGGATGAATTAGCTAAAGCTGGTATAGGCTGACCTTTAGGTTTGTGTAATGGTTAAGGTGTTATGCCTTGGTAGTTTTTATTTAGGGAGTTTCAGGGTGTGTTTTGTTTTCAGATTTATGGTTTTTTGTTTTGTAAGAAGTTGTTAGCTGTTGAGGTGTGGAGGTGTTTTATTGTTCTAATTAATAAAAGTTAGAGGCACTCTTTTCCTCCTTCCAATGTCCTTCATGTTATGTTTATAACATGTAGGATAAGAAGGGGGTTTTTAATAAGGCCTTATTTTATCAAAAAAAAAAAAAGACATGCCAAAGCCACTATACATCACGTGCCTTAATTTAATGCAAAATAATGCATAAATGACATGTTAGCCAAAAGAAAATTATGATGGACATGGTAAGGACTTCGAATAGGCACTTTATTGATGATAAAATTCTTAATTTAATGATAGAAATGGGAGGTTCTATTTTACTTAAATATTAGTCAGGTTTTAAGAGTTGACACTATTATGGTAGTTTCCACTTTGATAATCATTACAGTACTTGATAAACTTTTGGTATTACATGTCCACAAGTCAAAATTTCCTTCATTCCAGCAATCTGATCCTTCAACCAATTAAAGGACATTTTTACAGAACTTTCCAGAAAATTATGCACCAGAGATTTGTGTTATGCGATGAACCACACTTAAATCTAGGTCTGTGTAGCAATTGCCTAAAATTTAGCACTGTTTTAAAACTGTAAACAACTCAATAGGTCCCTACAAAAAAAACCTAATAAAACAAATTACAGCACTCATGAGTTGCTATTTATAGCTCCCAAGAGTCCAAGAAAGCGTGAAAGACTCGTGATTTGATTTTCTACATTCATTTCAGCCCAAACCTTGATCATTGATTAGCTAATTCAAATATTAAACTCCACGCATCGAGAAACTCTAAATAACAAATGTACCTCTAAAGCCTGAAAAAATGCCTCTACAAAGTTGTCCTACTACATCATGCTTGCTTAAAGATGTTTACTTGAATCAGATAAATTTACATTGCCCCACAGACTTTTTAGAGTGCCTAAACTTTCTGATTGTTGCATAAATTCAATAAAAGAGTGGCCAATAATAAAGCAATAAAACTATCATCAGTAAAAGTTTTAGAGTGGCGATTATACTACAAAATACTCAGGTGTCCATAGTGAAGGACAGTGGTATAGATATCACAACTTACCATAGGCCATAGCATAATCCGGTCGCACCTGAAGAGCTCGTTGATAGCATAAAATTGCCTCTTTAGGCATTCCCAAAGCCTGGAAAAGGCAAAAGAATGTGTTTTTCTCCAGATACCTGTCCTGCATTGCAGCTGCCCAACCTAACTAGCATAATCGATTATAGCTTACCTTATAAACATTTCCAAGGTTTAGGTAGGCGTCAAAAAATGTTGGTTTAAGTCTCACAGCTTCCTGTAAATAGATAAAATTACATAAACAAGATCAGAAGTAAATAGAAATATCACATCCAACATAGAATTCAAAGAATATCTACAGCTTTGAATGCAAAATAGCATTTATTCATGATATATATATATTGGTAGTCAACCTATGATTCAATATTCCATTTGGTACTTTTTTTTTATAGAAATAGAAGGCCTCATTAAAAACCTCCCTCATAAATAACTTTTTCCTAACAGAAAGGATCAAGTAGTGGAGGGAGGAAAAGAGTGTCTCATTTTATTACTTAACCAGAATTACATAAGCCTTAACAATTACATCCGAAGAGATTACATAAGACTTAACAACTTCACCTACTTCAAAATCCTACTGACCATAGAATGAAACATACAACTAAAATTATACAATCAACCTATCCCTTTCTTTGCTAAACTATCTGCCTCCCCATTACAAGCCTTTGGAATCAACCTAATTAACACCACCTTTTCAGAAATGATCAACAAAATTTCTTTAACTAAAGGCAATATGAAAACTGGAGCCAAAGAGGGGGAATGTATCCACTCCACTGCTGACTTGCAATCACTCTCAACAACCAACCTACTGACAGCAGACCAACGTGATGCCAAAAAAATTTCAATGCCTCTTTTAATAGCCTTTAATTCAACAACTGGTGGAGGACCTTGGCCAATATTCTCTGAAAAAGTCAGAAGAGTACAGCTATTCCAGTCTCTTAAAATGCCTCCAATACCTCCAACCGAGTCATTTAACCTCACAGCTCCATCGACATTCATCTTCAAGAAATCAACAGGGGGAGGGAGCCAGCAAAACTTAGAATAATCCTTAGGTTTAGGAACAGAAATACCATCAGCAAGTGATGGATCCCCAATAAGCAGATCCTCTTGTATATGAAATTTAGGATACTTCGCTAGGAACCATTTAGATAGCCTAAATCTCACAAGGAAAAAGAGAGACAACCTATCAAGGTTTAATCCTTCAAACACAATCGCATTCCTTGCTTTCCAAGTAGACCAAAAAACAACTCCCGGGATAAACTTCCAAATCAAAGAATTCACCCTCAAATTCCCCCATGAGTTAAGTAAAGAAGCAGGGTCCTATGGTAACACTATAGATAAATCCCAGAATCTAACCACTCTATTCCATAATTCCCACACTACAAAGCATGTAATAAACAAGTGTTGCACTGATTCCTCATGTTCCTTGCAAAACGGAAAGAGGATATCTTCTTCTAAAGACATTCCTCTTCTCACTAACTCCACTTTAGCTGCAACTTTCTGATGAGCTAACTGCCACAGAAAAGCTTCAACACAAGGCGGAGACAAACCCAACCACACCCCTTTTGACCACAAATCATTACCCCCCAGCTTTCCCTCCAAGAGCTTTCCTGCACGATTTTACTGAGAATAACCCATCACCACTTGCAGACTAGGAGAGAAAGTCTTCTACCGAATCAGTGAGTTTTACATCCTTTAATTTCACCATCAAATCCATCCATTGATCTAATTCCCAATCCGACAAATTCCTCCTAGTAAGAATGTTCCACACCCAACCATTCAACTCAAAACTTCCAAATTCAGCAACCTTACCCCATTTGTTAGTAGAGAGTGCAAAAATTCTAGGGAACAGATCTTTTAGAGGAACCTCATCCACCCATGGATCAATCCAAAATGATATGGACTTTCCATTTCCTACTTGTAACTTCGAAAATGATCTAAGACACTCTCCCCCCCGAATCATTCTTCAAAAAATTATTAGCAATACTTTTCAAATTCCAAGAAGATTTTGGAGAGATGACCTTACTAATAGACATAACATTGCAACTAACCTTTTGCTTGCTACATAACACTCTTTTCCATAGGGAATTCTTTTCGTTTGCAAACTTCCACACCCATTTTCCCAACAATGCTCGATTAGAAAGATTCAAGTCAAGAACCCCAAGGCCATCGCTGTTCAAAGGTTTACAAACAGTACTCCAACTAACCCAGTGAATCTTCCTTTTTTTCGCACTGTCACCCCACAAAAAATTGGCCATTAAAGAATTTAATTTCTTCCCAACTTTGCAAGGCATTTTAAAGAATGATAGGAAAAAAATTGGTAGGGAAGATAACACAGACTTCAACAAAACTGTCCTGCCAGCCAACGAAAGACGAGGCTTTCCACCCAGCTAGTTTGGAGTTAAAATTTTTAAAGACTGGATCCCATAAGGCTTCAAAACTCCTCTTAGCACCGATTGGAAGTCCCAAGTAATCTGTGGGAAAATGATCAACAGAACAGCCCACTTCCAATGCCCAATCTAGTAAGATATCCTCATCAATATTAACACCAAAAAGTTTACTCTTCTTCAGGTTTAGATGCAACCCCGCCATAATACTGAAAATCCTCAACACTCTATTCACATTTTTAATCTGAGCAAGTGAAGCTTGGCAAAAAATTATGAGATCATCGCCAAACTGAAGATGAGATAACCGAAAGGAATCTTCAGAATTCCCAATAACAAAACCTTGAGAAAGACCTTTCTCAACTGCTTTATCGAGCATCAAATGCAACAACTCACCAACTATATTAAAGAGAAGCGGAGAGAGACTACAACCTTGTCTAAGTCCCTTAGCCATTGGAAACTCTTCTGAGGGAGACCCATTCACAAGAACCGAAATTGAAGCAGAAGAGAGAGACTGTGAGATCCACGAACACCATCTAGACCCAAAACCCATCTCCTTCATTGCTCTGTTTAATATTGGCCATTCAACAGAGTCGTACGCTCTACGAAAGTCAACTTTAAATACAACCCCTTGTAGTCCTTGTTTTCTCCAATAATCGATCCCTTCATTTGCAATAAAGGCACAGTCCAACAACTGTCTCCCCGGTATAAAAGCAAACTGGAAAGGGCTGATAATGTCACCAACACAGCCGCTTAGTCTCTTGGATAGGACTTTTGATAGTATCTTATACAAACTTCCTACAAGGCTAATTGGACGATAGTCTTCAACCTTTTCCGGATTCAAAATCTTTGGAATTAGAGTAATAAAGGCGTGATTTACACCATGCTCCCACTTTCTTCCGAAGTAAAAATCATTAAAAAATTTCAATACATGCTCCTTTAAATTTGGCCAGCATTTCTTGAAGAAACCCATTGTGAAACCATCCGGACCAGGAGATTTAGAACTGTCCGAGGTTGCTATAGCTTGCCAAACTTCCTGTTCAGAAAACTGCTCCTCTAGTTTTGTAGACTGGTACCCAGACAGTTTAGAAAAATCCAGCAATAAATCCTCCACTTCCATTGTAGAAATGGAATTAAACGCTGTCTTGAAAAAATTCGAAATGTGGGTCTTAATCAAGGACAGATCTGAAACAACAGTCCCATTAATCTTCAGACTTGTAATTGCATTTCTCCTACTGTTCAGAGCACAGAGGTGAAAAAATCTGGTGTTTCTGTCCCTTCCTTTAATCCATCTCGTTCTTACTCTTTGAAACCAAATACTTTCTTCAAACCTGTACAGCCTCTAGAGATTCGATCTAAACTGCTTCACCTGATCCCACTCCTGAGAAGAAAGATTACTACCTTGTGCCTTTAATTCCAACTCATTAATTTACCCTTCCAAGGTTACAATAGACTCTGAAATCCCATTAAATTTCCTGCTTGACCAGTTTCTGATTGATTTTTTAATTCCCTGTAAAATGCTAAATATACCCCTCCTGTTATTCCTCTCCATCAAATCCACCATTGAAGCTTTAACCAAATCCTCGAAGCCTTCTTCCTCTAATAAATAATTATAAAATTGGAAGGGTTTAGGCCCCCAATCTTCAGACGAATCATCCAAAGACACTGAATTATGATCTTATATGGACCTAGGCAGCAGTCTTTGAACTACATTCGGAAAGCATGACAAAAAATTTCCAGATATTAAGAACCTATCTAGTCTGACCCAAGTTGATTCTTCCCTGTTGTTGCACCAAGTAAAGGTTCCTCCGACCAACGGAAGATCAATTAAATTAGTTTGCCGTAGGAAATTCCTAAAAATATCAACAGAATGCCAGTTTTGAGACCTTCTCATCTTCTCTGCCGGATCAAGATACGTATTGAAATCCCCCCCAATACAAAGTAAATTCGCTTGAGCTGAAACAAACTCCAACAATTCCAGTAAAATTCTTCCTTTTCATATTCAATGGAGGGACCATGCACATTCATAATGACACTCTTCATCAAAATTCTTAAACTTCCCAGATAATGCAATAATCCGGCCACTTAGATAGCTATTGGACATTTTAAAATCATTCTCATTCCACATTACCAGCAGACCCCCTGCAAACCCAACAGCTGGGGAAAAAATGCATCCCTCAAGAAAACTCCCCCCTATCCTTCTCCTAAGAGCCTTAGAATAGTTTTCGAGCTTTGTTTCCTGAATAAGTAGAATACTTGGCTTGTTCTTCTTGACCAAATTAGCTACAGCTCTTGCTTTTTCCTTCTTCCCCAAACCCCTTATGTTCCACGAAATAATGTTAATGTTCCTCATAAAGATAACAAATAACCCAAAAACCTCTGATCAAATGATCACAAAAACCTATTCCCCTTATTTCAACACTTCCTACTAACCCCCAACCCCTCTTCAAGATCCATAATTTTATCTAAAAATGCCTTCTTGCCTTCTTTGAAAGAAATCCCCAGCATCCTACTAACCTCCCACGTAGCCACTGCTTCTTCCAAAAACATCGAAAAAGATGGAGAAGTAACTGTAGGTACACTAGCCACATCCAAAGCTTCCCTAGTCAAAATCCTTCTTTCTCCTACCCTCTCTCCCTTTCACAGCCCCATTAAAAGCCCCTTCATAATTATTGAGTTTTGTAGAACTCCATAGTCATTGGAAGGGGGGAAAGAGTGCCCAGAATTTTATTGCCAAACATAAGTAATACAACCAAAACCAACCAAACAATCCAAAGAAATCCATTACAACAACCCACCACCCCCATTCTCACCAATCCACAACCTAACCTCTAAC